TTTTTTTTTTTTTTTTTTTTTTTTTTTTTTTTTTTTTTTTTTTTTTTTTTTTTTTTTTTTTTTTTTTTTTTTTTTTTTTTTTTTTTTTTTTTTTTTTTTTTTTTTTTTTTTTTTTTTTTGAGGTCTGCGTTCCACCAATAGCCCCCTCCCCAGCTGCGGCAGCGTTCCCAAAAACCCCGAGCAGCTTTGGCCAACGTTGTGTTCTGCTCCACAAGACGTGGTTTTTCCACCGCGTCCTCAACAACCGGCGTTGTCTGCACGCTCCCACGCCGGAGATCGCCCTCTGCCCCCTTTCCAGCCCCAGGAATAACCCTGAAAGCGGCTGTTCGTGAGTAACATGTCTGTGCGTGCGCTTCCACAGCATTCGGTCCCAACTGTGCAAAGGCAACTGCAGGTTTCTCGCCATTTTGCTTTATACAAGCGTCAAATCGCTGGCGCAGTGTTTCCCTGTAAATCTCTCAAAAAGTCTATACCAATTTGCAATAAAAAAAAGAATCGTAAGTACGTAACCATAATACTCTTTACAAGAGAAATTGTCAGGCAAACAAGACTTTTACTACTCAGACTCACGTCTATAAAAAGTTCATTAGCAAGCACGTTCAACAGAATCTTTCACAAGCCTTTACAAGCCACCTTTTCAGCCAAGAAAAGTTATTTCCACATTTTCCAGCCATGCTTTCCTGGGACCAAGGCTTTACAAGCCACTAGAACAGACAGCTGCCAGTATTTTAAGTGTAAACATGTTTTGGATAGCTGCAGGTTCGTTACCTTGCCAAATGATACATTTCCTTGATAAAGTTACAGGGATAAATTCATTTGGATGGGTGATGGAGAATACTGAGAGAAAAAGGAGAAAAATACCTCATTAACACCCCACACCAGTGCAGATACAGCTGATGTTCCCTTACACCTTAAGTAATTCACAAAATTCTCTGTAGTAATTCCAAAACATGTCTCTTACCACGTCACTTCTCTTTCTTCCAAAACAAAACACCCTCACTGCATCAGACTCCACATGTTCAAGGATATAGCGGAGTACAGTAGTTTTTAGCCTACAAATTATTCAGAAACAGACTAATTCCCTTTCAGGACACTGATTTACCCTTTAGAAATCAAAAGCTCCTGAGCTGCCATCAGTTATCAGGATTTTACAGTCTACTTGCGCGGAAGGTTTGGTTTTACTTGTGAGCTCAAAAAAATTCTGAAGTATTGAACCTAGTTCCTGCTGCTAAGGGCAACGGTGTGATTTTCATCCTTTCATCCACTGCTGAATTTTCACTTGTGTCAGCTCTCCAGCGTGCCTCTCCCAGAGGCTGCTCCACAGCCTTACAGCCTGGCTATTCTGAACCTTCCTCTACTCCCCAACCACACCACATTACAATAAAATGAATTTTAATTTTTCATACAAGAACTAGGAATGTCATTTATTAGACCCTCCCAGGAAGCGATCCAGCAGAGTTACTGTTTCACCAAATATCAATTGTTGTCCTCCATCCATTGCTCAATCCATTGCATAATCTGATCCAAATTTCTCTCTAGGTCTTCTGGAGTGTTGCTGGGTAACTGGTGCACAATTTCCTCTCTATATGATGACATAGCTTCCTCATAAAGTGTCTGAAAAATTTCACACTGAATGTTGTCTTGCAGCTTTTTGCCTTTGTAGCCCCTAGAAAGCAAGAACGATACTGAAAGACAGTCTTAGATAGGCAGAGGACTATGAAGTTATTTTTATTTATTATTATTATTTACATTTTATTTATTTATACCCTAGAAAAATCTCCTGTGAGGTCACACAACAGTACTTTACTCCTTATTTACTACACTGACATACCTGCTTTCAAGTCTGTCATACAGAAATGAATTTTCCGTACGAAGTACAAATACTATATGAAACCACCGTTCAGGGAAAAAATCACAGCCATGATAATCGACAATAACTCCACCCTCACTCATTTTATCTTCCAGTTCATCAATTACCTACAAAAGAAACAAAGACAGGCAAGTTTATCTGAAATTGCAGAAAGTCAAAACACAGAACTGGGAGGAGTGGTGGATACACTGGAAGGCTGTGCTGCCATCCAGTGAGACCTGGACAGGCTGGAGAGTTGGGTGTAGAAGAACCTGATGAAGTTCAACAAGGGGAAGTGCAGGGTCCTGCACTTGGGGAGGAACAACCCCATGCACCAGTACAGGCTTGGGGCGGGCCTGCTGGAGAGCAGCTCTGCGGAGAGGAACCTAGGACTGCTGCGGGACAAGCTGACCATGACCAGCAGTGTGCCCTTTTTGTGAAGAAGGCCAATGGGATCCTGGGTCACATTAGGAAGAGTGTGGCCAGTAGGTCGAGGGAGGTTCTCGTCCCCCTCTACTCTGCCCTAGTGAGGCCCCATCTGGAGTACTCCGTCCAGTTCTGGCCTCCCCAGTTCAAGCAAGCTGAGGA